GCCTACTGACTGTCTCTCCTTAAATACTGGGTCCATCTGTCCTCGTTTCCTGACACTACGATACAGCATTTCTATCCTTGATGTTGCTTCCTGACAGTAGAACCACAGTTCATGAAAATTATAGACAATTCTTTTTTTTTTTTCTGTGACTTTATCTTTTTGGTTTGGAAAAATAAATGTGACTGCAAGTAGTTTACACCTGCAATAGATATGAGAAATTAAATGGTGCACATTTCTGTAATTTTGTAGCCTTGAAATATTAATTTAGAAAAACTTAACAATAAAACCCTAAAGTTCCATTTATCGTTTAACCCTCCAGGGTATATTTTACAGTCGATCAGTCTTATTAGAGCTAAAACTGTTATGAAATATCTTGATTACCTTTTGTCTCTTGCCCTTCTGTTCCTCTGTGTCTTTTCCTCAGATGACCAAACTGACTTCCTTCTTTTGTTTTTATATTCTTTCTTGCTCTGTAAGAATTGGGGAAGATTGTCAGCACTTAAAAAGAAAAGTGCTTGACCAATGAGAGAAGCTGAATTTATGATTTATAGATCTAATAGATGTTAGAAAGTATAGTTTGATAAGTTTTAATTTTCCATTAGTTCAAAATGTATTTTGCTTCGCCTGTGAGACTGAGGAGATGTGAACCTTTAAAAATGGAAAATAATCCCATAAATCATTTTCATCTTGTTAATGATAAATTTTCCTTTTGATACCTGATTTTCTTGGAGTCATAAGATGAACCTCTGAACAGATCGGGTTTTTAACTGAAACATGTTAATCAAAGCATAAACAGCCACCATTGTGATATTTCTTCTACCACAGAGTGCTGAGCCCTTCACTACCTTCTGTTTTTACAGAGTTTGTATAGCATCTATGAAGGTATGTAAGCTGGAGGTCTGCTGATGGCACCACAGTAGTAGGTCTCATTACCAACAGCTGCTGATGAAAACAATCTACCATGGTCTATGGTGCTGAGGGCAGGAACAATGCTGCCCCCTTTAGGAGAAAGTATGTAACAAAAGCTTAGAGTCTGGCATGTTTTCCTCTGATGAGAAGATATATTATTTTGTCCTAAAATAATTCTGTTGATCAATGCTTTGCATCTGATCCAATTCTTCATCAAATTTAACAAGTCCTATTTGCCAGGGCTCTGCCCTCTGGTTAAGTTTATTTGTAGTTGTTTTCTGTCAGTATTAAGGAGAATTAAACTGTATGGAATATGCAACAGATAGGATGGGTTTCGGTCAGGACACAGGAATGAAGAGCAAGAGTTGGTTTTCCTTTGCAACAGGCGTCACTAGCTGTGCACTTTATTGTGAACTCCATGTTGGAACAGTTCTGAAAAAAGAACAATAAACAATATATTCAAATATATTCATGGGCGTAGGTTTGCATAGGGACCATAGGGACATGTCCCTACCAAAATTTTGAACCGACCTAATTGTCCCGACCAATAATTGGATGTGAGCAACATGTTTATAATTTACAGCAGTAGTTGTTCCAGCAGTGGCTTCTTTTCCTCTCGCAGCTCCTCTGCCTGGTCTGTCCTGTCCCTTTCATGTAGCAGCGCATGGAACTGCGCTGCGCTGTTTAACTCAACTCTCATTGGTTGTTCTGCCTTAAGTTCCGCCTTCTCTCTCTCTGATTGGCTGTTTTCTAGTCCGCGTGTGATTGGAGCACAACATTGAAAATGTATTCACACTAGAATGCAGCGGTTACTACAATTAATATTAGGCTACAAAACCAGTCCCAATAAAAAAAATGAATATCATGTACACTAAAAAACAAAAACCTTTTTTTTCTTTTATAAAACGAAATATTCTGAGTCAGCCAGGAGTCCTGAAGACTGTTGGAAAAATGGGCAAATAAAGGCTGTAAGCCATCAACATTTCTGATTCTTAGCCACAGCCAACTAAAAAAAGAAAATGTGAATGTTTCCTTTTTACCGATATTGTAATATTAAGTTGATATTACTGTTTTCATTTTTTTGTTTTTATTTTTACAATTTTGATATAACTGATCTAAGTGGGTTGCTCTGTGGGGAAAGGCACATTTTACATTTATATTACTGTATGTTTTAAAGTCTCTATACTCCAGTTAATGATGAATCACTTACTAAATTAGTTGACGATTATTGAAATAATCTATTAATATGATTCATTTTTTTCAGCCCCAGATGAAATACATGTAATTGGCTAGACAGAGTAACTACAGCCCAGATGTTCAACTTTTATAGTGAAGTTAATATTTTAATGAATGTATTATTTGGCTTGATACAGAGAGAGAATAGTAGGTACAAATATTAGAGTGGGGTTTAACTCTGCACAATTCTGTATCTTCAAAAGAAAATACTGTATTTACCTTCTCTCTTAGTCGTTCAAATGAAACCGTTTTCAAAGTGGAAAACAGTCCTAATTCCACATTGATCAGAGCCGGTGATACTTCAAACATTAATAAACAGCATCTAATGAGTGTAGAGCTTATAACATTTTTATTAATGGAGCAAAATGTTGCTTTTCTCTTTTAACAATGAATTCCTCTTATCAGTACGGATGCTCACATCGAGCATAAAAAAGGGCATGCATATTGCATAGCACCAATGACACCAGACCAATAGTGTCCCTACCAAAGTTCAAATCAGACCTACGCCCTTGAATATATTGTATTTAATGCTTTGATGCTCTCATAAAACACGCCGTCCCTCCCTGCTCCCCTCTCCCTCGCGGAGAAAGGCTGCCGACCGTGATACACGCAACTAAAAAATGTTTACATCAAGTCTGCTTGCTTGTAGATAATATAAACAAATAAATTAGGCTTTCAGGAATAAGGGAAGCATTTAAGGCAGAACAATTAGTACTCACTTTTGTCATTCACTCAACACCAGAAGTGTCACATTAAGGCACCCGCAAACAAACGTGGATAAGACACTGGCTCAACTGAAAAGCTGCCAACGGAACGACCCCATAAAATCAGAACAGTAACTCGCATCCGCCTAAAGATAATACGGCCCTGTTCGAAAACCTGGGCGGTCTACCTAGACTGGATCCTTCGAAGTCCGTGAAAATAAGGAGACCGGAAGAGTTTTGGCTGTGAATTCGAACAGGTCTACCCCCGCCGAAGGCTATGTTGCTTAGCAACCGTGAAAGTTGACACACAAAACAGGAAAAGAATGAAAACCGAAGTTTTCATAACTGTTTGTTTATTTATTATTTTTTTTATTTTAAAGTGAACACAGACTACACTCACAAGAATCCAGAGTGGAATAAAGGTTCCAACCACCGGGAGCAGGGACAAATGAAATCAAATGTAATGATAGAAAGAAACCTTAGTCAGTTAAATAACCTGCTGCTGTCATTCTGCACATCTCTGATTTTGCTGCTATTTTCAAATATCCATTACTGTAAAAATGTCCATAGCTGCATATTGGTTATTTAGTCTCCAATTTGATATTGTTAAAACACTTTACAGTACTTTATTGTTTATATTTTAACTCTTCCCTATTATGTTATTCTTATACATTTTTCTAAGGTCCTCATTTGTGTGACCATTTTCAATAATCTTTCTGCTGCTGTAAATTTGCCCATTGTGGGACAATAAAGAGATTTTCTATTCTATAAAAGGGGTAGAAAGATATAAGTGAATCTAAACAATGTATGTATAAAAAATATATCAGCAAAATCTCTAATATTCAACAACAAAAAATACTTAATTTATTGTGAGAAACAGCAATAAAAAAATTATACTCCTATCAGATTTATAGTCCCCACCCTGCAGATATATTAGAATCTGTCCTTAAATCACAGCCAAACCCATTTACACAGTAACAGATTAAAACCTTTAGATGAACCAAACATTACCGCCACATATCTGACTCTATAACCATTAAAACAACTATTTTCATTCATTTCAGACGGAACTATTCACAGACTGGATTATATTAAACTGAACTTCCAATTTTCACCACTGTTTGGCGCCAAGTAACCTTTCCTCTAATCATGGCTTGCTTGGTCTCGCAATGAATCCTGGGATATCCAAGGATACAGGGGATACATCGGACCGTCCTTCAAATCCGGCAAAAAGAAGGACGCATTTTAAGGCCGCATAACGAGGACTCTTGGAATCCGACCAGACCTCGGCGCCGCGCTATGACGTAATCATCCTTCGAATCTGGCCTTCTAAGGACGCGTCCTAGGTTTTCAAACAGAGCATACGAGTGCTTCTTTATTATCCATCCACACGAGGAGTGCTGTGCTACTACTACTGCAAATAACCTCAACAAAAAAGTAGTGAAAAAAAAATAATATATATATATATATATATATATATATATATATATATATATATATATATATATATATATATATATATATATATATATATATATATATATATATATATATATATATATATATATAACAGTGATATAAACATATGACTGTAAATTTACAGTTCTAACATTTTTTTGTTTGTTTTGTTTTTCAAAGAAAAAATTTGAACACCTTAAATTGTGATGTTTAGGGATATTTCTCCACATACTGTATGTCCCAAATCCACAGAGACATATTGTGTTGTGATGGTGTTGGTGCATTTCTCAAGCTTGTCCTGAATATGTCAGATATTCATTTTCACATATGAGTTTGAACTGAGAAATGCAATTGGAAATACCTGGAGAGAACCAAAACACATACCTGTACATAGAGAACAAATAAGATAGGGTCCTGACATGAATTTAAACATCTGAGCTTTCAGCTTCAAGAGAATAATGCTAACAACTACACCACCATGTAGGGGTGTCTAAAACACAGACTGTGTAAACATGCTACATAGTTAAGCTTATATCATGCAACCTAAAATAATCTAACATATTGAGGGTTTCACTTTGATGGTTACATTTTTTTTTCAATAATAATTTTCAATATCCATTAAAAATACAGAATAAAAAAAGTTTTTTTTTCTTAATTCTAAATTGTATTTCTTTTTTCAGTAAAGACTCCACCTATGTCTAAAATGTTTGGACTGATGCCGATTCCAGATGTTAGAGATAAAACCCAAAGTAAAAAAAAATCCCTCATTGTGCTCAGAAACCTGGACAATGAAGTTTGTTCTGATATTAATGCTCTAGCATCAATGTCAACAATACAACTGAAAGTTCTGTGTTTCTATATTAGTTCAAAGATGTTATCAAATAATTTTCACCAACTCTTCAAGAAAAGTAATACTTGCATATATTTTTTTTTAATTATCATTTGTTCTTTGACAAATTATTTTCTAATGAGCATAAACACTTTGGATAAATGAGCAAACATATTTTGAAACTCCATTAAGACTGAAATATAAACTTATAAAGAATAAAAAATATTTTAAAGCAGATATTTTTTGGCAAAGCTGCAAACATGAAAATAGATGCCTCAACATTCAACATAAAAATACTTTAAGGTGTAGTGGATGATCTTTCAGCTTTGAGTCCCAGGGGTAGCATCTTATGCAATGATTGTCCCACATGCCGATCTTTGTAATTCTTCCTCTTTTATTCCTGTACAGGTGCATGTCTAGGGTTTATATAACATGTAAGCTTCATCCATTCATTGTGGATCAACTACTGTTTTCAAACACTAAAATGTCTCACATTCTCAGGGAGATAAAAATCAAACCAGATTATAAGTTTAGATGAAAGGCTTAGAACAGTGCGTGTTCTTGCTCCCTTGTTCAAGGTTCGCTATAACAAATCCTTACAACTAGCTGGTAAACTTTGCAAAGATTTTTCACCAGATGCCCTTCCTGACACACACAGGGGTCCATCTGGGGTTGGATCCCCTCATTTCAGTCTGAGACTATAACCACATCACCATGGAAACGGTCAATATAGCCAGAATATATTTGAAAGATTTTTCCTGGTGATTCCAGAAGAAAGGGTAGAATGGTTTTTCACATGTGCAGTTATTCAGGAAATGACTTAGGAGTTTTTTTTTTATCTACATTACTGAAAAAATCTGTCCACTACACCATTGGTAAATACTGAAAATAAACTAAATATTAAACTTCAGTGACCAAAACCAAGAGATGAAAGAAGCTAACGTCAAAAGACTAAATAAATCGACACAATATTAACATACATGCTCTCTTCTTTTCTTTTGCATCCCTTAACAGTATATTTAATAAAAGTCCAGTTTTTAGCAGGTTAGATGCAAGTTTCAATGATTCCTGTAGACATGTCAGCGGGGTCGTTGGACAATGGTGTCATACTCTGCTGATGTATCAGATTTCTGTAGAAACATGTAAGTTGGGTCACCTTCAGTGGGTTTCATCTTTTTTCTTGTGTTCCTAAATAGAAAAATATTGTTAAAACAAACAGCCTGTACGAATGGACCAGAAAACATAATATTTAGCTGCTGTAACTCACCAAAGGAGCCAAATGTAGATCATACAGAGAACATTTACACTAAGTGAAACACCAGCAATGGCCCAGGGAAGAGCTGCACAGCCAACCCCACAATGTGTCACATGATTAGCTAAGAAATTACAGAAATACTGATAAATTGAGATGCATTTCATTTAAGCATTAAAATATATAAGACTGCACTTAAAAACACACATTTTTCTGCTGTACACAAAATTCCTAAATTAAAGTAACCACATCTGGATGTTAACAGATTTCTGCTATAAACATATCTTATGTGTTTTGCTCACATGTCACATGAACAATGACTTCTTCTGTCAGGTTGTCATTCTGGTTTGTTGCTGTACAAATGTAGCGTCCAGCGTCTTCTGATGTTACATTTATGATGAGCAAAGAAGAATTATGAGGACTCTCATTCAGGAATGTTTCAGTGCTGTTATAAGACTTGTTTAAAATGTTGTACTGCAGGTTAGTTTCTGTTCCAACTTTAGTCCACTTTATGAATGACGGAGGGAAGCTGTCAACACTGCAGGCCAGATTCAGATCATCTCCTTCATTTACTGTGGTTTTGCCAAAGATCTGAGGTTTTCTAAAGTCTGTGGAGAAAATATGTGGAATTAAACAAAACAAGGTACAAAACTGTGCTTTAGACCCTCTGTGCTGAACACTAACATGAAATACTCTTAAGAAATAACAAAACAATAAGCTTAAAGGGGAACACCGTTTTTTTTTTTGGCCCCTTGATTTTACGTTATTACATCATGTTTAACTCACTCATATGAGTTTTGTGTCATTTGGAGCCGTTCCAAAGATATTCAGTATTGTTATATCCAAGTAACGTCTTACTATGGGCAGCGAGTTGAAGGCACAATCTAAGCTGTTCATAATTTATTCTTTATGGTACGCCAGCATTCATAACATGTAGGAGAATCACTGTTCCCGAGACATCCACGGCTATAGTTTTTATATTTATATTTTTTTTAAACAAAGCGGAGTGTGTATGACGTCATACACGCACCGGACTGGAATTGTGACCGGCAGCCCGGATTAGAAGCGGCTACGCTCTATCCCTTCCATTCATTCGGCTACTGTAGCTAATCTGAATCGTTCAATTCCATTTCGAGAGTGAGATCATCTGAGGTAGTAGCACTAGACATCTTCCTGGCATGTGAGTAAAACTAGCAGCAGTTCAGCGGATTTTGATTCTATCTTGATTTTTGATTGATGATTTTATCCGGTAGCACTTTGAGATTTAAAAAAAAAATGTAAAGTGCATTACAAATAAAATTTATTATTATCATTATTATTATTATTATTAGAACATGATGTAATAACGTCACATCAAGAGGAAATGTAACAAGCTGGTGTTCCCCTGTAAGAGGTGGATTTCCATTTAGAATATTGAGTTTTAAAACCAAAATATATTTGCTATTTTATTTTGATAAATCTACTAGCATGTCACATTAACAACGACTTCTTTTGTCAAGTATTAATGATGGAAAAAGAGGCATTTCCACTTTCTTCCTGCAGGTAGATCAATGTTTTGTTATCTGCTTTCCTTAAAACATGATCCTGCAGATCAGGTTCTGTTCCAGATTTAGTCCACCTGATAATTGATGGAGGGAAGCTGTCCACACTACAGGTCAGATTCAGATCATCTCCCTCCATCACTGTTGTTCTACCGTATATCTGAGATTTTCTAATATCCTTGGAGCAAAACTAGAGCTGAAGTTTAAACAGCTTAATGAATTAAGGATTTTAAGTAGGTTTTTGAAGTTAGTCAGTTATATATTTATTTTTCTGATTAGTCATCTATGTTCTCGATATTTAGTAATGGCTGAAACATTTAATAAGATTAATCTTAATTAATTGATTATTCAAATAAAAGTCACCTAATGTCATTTCCTAATCATAAACCATACAAATATTATTTGTTAAAGAAGAAAACAACTTAGCACAGTAATTAACCTAAAACTATAGAAAATGTATTTATTATTGAAAAATCCATATTTGTCACTTAATGTGCTGCTTCCTCCTTAAGTAACATTTATCTTTGTCCAAGTTCTATCAAGTTCAAAACCATATTTTATAAAGCATCTTTTGTGATCTGATTATTAACCAGTCATAATGTACAGATTAATAGCCAAATATTTGTACCTTGGAGCCCTATATGAACCACTTAATCCCACATCAGTATGATCAGGTATTGGTATTTATTTAACAATCTCTGAGGTATAAATTATTAATAATTATTTCACAATCAAACTTAATCCAAGTGATCAGCCTTTTCTTTCTTCAAATATTGCACAGATGGAGTTAAAAGTATATTTAATAATAGTTATAGATCATGAGGTACTTACAGTTTACATTCAGTGTTTCAGTCCTCTTTCTGGTTTCATTTCCTCTGAAACTGACCCGACAGGTTATAATGGTGTTGTGGTTTTCAGCTGAAGGTTCAAAGGTCAGAGTTGAGCTGTGACTCTGTTTGACAGCAGTCAGATTCTCAGTTTTTGAAGCAGTGATATTTCCCTGGATGTAAGAGTCCTTCTCTCCTTTTCTTCCGAACATCCAGGTGATTTTAGGAGGAGACCCAGAGCAGAAACCAGGAGCAGTGCAGCTCAGAGTGACCTGCTGTCCCTCAATCAGAGGAGGAATCTTAACTTCTGGCTTTTGGTTAAGATCTGATGGAAACACAGTTCATTGGTTATATCCCCCAAAATGTTTATTATTAACTTAAATTTGACAAGAAAGCTTCAATAACGTTAGATTATTTATTTGTATGTAAATTTAAAATAAAAAGGCCGTTTTGAATCTTGTGAACTCTCTACAATTGATTTAGATGTCAATAAAAATAGTAAAGTATTTCATCAGGTCTAAAAATAGGATTATATACATTTATCTTGTGATGTTTCCTACCTTTTACAGAGAGATTGGTGTATGCAACAGTATAAAAAAATGTATCCTTTTCTCCGTCTCCTTCAACTCTGAGCAGATAATATCCAGAATCAGACTTTCTGAGATCATTGATTATAATCCTGCAGTTCTTCTGAGTCACATCAGGCTCCAGCAGTGATACTCGACCTTTGAACCCAGACTGAATATCTGTATTGCTCTTGTCAGAGTGAAAGACAGGGTCAGAATGTGTACATCGGTATTGGGGTTTTTCACATTTAAACCACATAATAACTTTTGGCTCAAATTCAGATTTGAAAGAGCATGGTATCACAGCACAGAGTCCAGCCTCTGCTGTTATGGTTGTAGAGAGAGTAACACAGTAACCAAGTTGTTGACACTTTTCTCCCTGTCCTAATGCACCTGTTGATAAACAAGAATATACAAAGTTAGTAATCATTGGTTTTGGATTTCATTGGTGACTACAATTACATTATCTGCTTTCAGAAAGCTCTTTGTCAGTCAATGTCAACACAAAAGGTGAAGAATTAAAGATTTGTGATTGAACAATAGTCTGGTTGTTATCCTTTATTTGTATGTCTGCTCATCAAACAGCAGCTGTATTTATCAGCAAATCTGGATAACAAGCAGATTTATTGCATTTTACATAAATACTATTTTGATCACTATATTTTTGCAGAGGAGAAGATTCATGCATTACCGTTGTTAGTAGAGAGAGACACAATTATCCAGATAAAAACCAACATCCTGATTTGATGCTGAAAACATTCAGTCCCAACAGGACAAACCTCTGGTGAAGAAGTTATAGAGAATTACTGAACCTGAATCAAAGCAAAGTTTAGACAATAAATCACACATACAATACAGCATTTCTATCCTTTATGTTGCCTCCTGACAGAAGAAACATTGTTCATGAAAATTGTACAAATTTTTTTTCCTAATTATCTGTGACTTTATATCTTTTTAGTTTGGAAAAGATAAATGTGACTGTAAACAGTGTTGGGCACGTTACTTTGAAAAAGTAATTTGCTATAGTTACTAGTTACTTCTCTCAAAAAGAGTTACTGAGTTACTCTACAATAAAAGTAACTAGTTACTAGTAAAAGTAACTATTGCGTTTCTCTCCCCCGTAACCCTCACCACCTGGCCCCCATCTATCTCTGTGTGTTTCAAAAGCCAGCTGAATAGAGTGGACGACAAAGACAAGTACAGAAATCAAATCAGGGGGGAACGCTATCTGACGGGCCTATAAACCCCGTCAGATAGCGTTCCCCCTGCTTAACATGGGGGAACGGTATCTGATGTGGTGTAAATATCATCAGGCTGCATTACCTCTACTCATGGGTGTGAAGTGAACAGGACGTTCAGATCTGGTGAGTGTATAATATTAAAAACTGGGGATGTCTAATTCTGAAATCCTGTGTGTTTGGGTTGTTATAGATACTTCAACATCTATCTATCTATCTATCTATCTCCCTTTCTCCATATAGGCTGACATTTGATCCTTCGCGCTCTCCGTAGTTCCCCTGTGGGCAGCTGCCTTTAGCGGGCAAGCGCGTTTCCTGTTGCGTGCCAGTGAATCGTGCCGCCTGCGCTGTGTGGAGATGCAGGGGAAACCGTATCTGATGGGGAAACGCAGCTCGACGTAACACTGGTATTTCCATGTGGAAAAAGCTGTTTTGCTTCTGGATCCTCCTCACTCTCCATCTCTCTGTGTGTGCTGTACGTTAACACCCGTAACAGCCAATCTCATCTTCCCCTCTCTCATGACAAGGCGCGCACAAGTCCAATTATGAAAAAAAGGTTCAATGTGCGACCTGAGTAAAGCGCAGTAACGGGGTGTCTGCAATGGTAACTGCGTTATAGTTATAGTTACAGTCAAAGTAATAAGTTAACCTTTTCATAACAGGAGGACCCAAATTTGGGTCCTCAGCACTCGCCCCAAGATGGTTTTTCGACCTGTAACATATTCTCTGGGGTCTTGCCTTTATTTTGATACCAAAACAATTAAAATAAACTCTGTAGTTCTTGAGATATATTCAATTAATCTTGGGCATGTTATTTTCAAGCATATTTCTCGAAAACAGGCCTAGTGTCCAAGTGGTAGTTACCCGTTACTTAAAAACGCCGTTACTTTCAACACCGTTACTCCCATCACTGATTGTAAATAGTTGACACCTGCAATAGATATGAGAATTAAATGGTGCACATTTCTGCAATTTTCTAGGCTTGAAATATTGATTTTCAAACACCTAACAATAACACCCTGAAGTTCCATTTATCATTTAACCCTCCAGGGTATGTTTTACAATTGATCAGTGTTTTAGAGCCAAAACTGTTATTAAATATCTTGATTACCTTTTGTCTCTTGCCCTTCTGTTCCTCTAATCGTCTGTGTCTTTTCCTCACAGACGACCAAACTGACTTCTTCTCCTTTCCTTTTTATTTCTTCTTTTTTGCTCAGTAAGAAATGGGGAAGTTAGTCAGTACTTATAAAAAAAGAAGTGCTTGACCATTGAGAGAAGATGAATTTATGGTTTATACATCTAACAGATGTTAATAGAAAGTATAGTTTGATTATAAAAGTTTTAATTTTCTATATATTCTAAATGTATTTTGCTTCGCCTGTGAGACTGAGGAGATGTGAACCTTTAAAAATGGAAAATAATCCCATAAATCATTTTAGATCTTCTTTGTTAATGATTAAATTTCCTTTTGATACCTGATTTTCTTGGAGTCATAAGATGAACCTCTGAATAGAACAGAGAAAGTTTTTAATTGAAGCATGTTAATCAGAGTATAAACAGCCACCTGGAAACATGCGATATTTCTTCTACAGTATCAGATCTATCACAGAGTGATATCACAGTGAATCACAGAGTGCTGAGTCCTTCACTACCTTCTGTTTTTAAACATGTTTATTCAGCAGCAACTATGAAGGTATGTAAGCTGGAGGTCTGCTGATGGCATCACAGTAGTAGGTCTCATTACCAACAGCTCCTGATGAAAACAATTACAACAAGTATGTAACAAAGTTTAGAGTCTTATTAGAATACATATTGTTTAGTTCTAAAATAATTCTGCTGAATAATGCTTTTTCCATTTGATCCTTCATCAAATTTAAAAAGCTCTATTCAAATATGATAACTCGCCAAAAAGTAAACCACGGTCTCAACAGTTTAGAAATTATAGATTATGAATAGAGCTTTTTAAATTTGATGAAGGATCATTGTTTCATCAACAATGCATTTAGCTTTTTTTTTACTAAATGCATTGTTAATGAAAATCAGTGTATAAATTAAAATCCCACATAAAGTGTAAATCAATTAGATTAATAAGATTTTTTTATCCCCATCCATAAATTATACATTTAGAGTTGCATTTATATGTTTAATGAAACGTCAGTACTTTAAAAAACGTTCAGCACGTCCTTAGTAAGCGCATCAAAATCTGCTGCAGGTGTATAACTAATGTAATAGGAAGAGGAATATGTGGCAGACCAAATTATTTACCAGCCCAGGTTTCCAGGACAATTAAACTCACTGGTTTGCAACAGCCCTGCCATCCAACATGCAGGTAGGTCAATGTGCTGTTTGATGTGTAGCGTGTTGCTCCGTCTGTCTTTTTATTTCTTAAATTTAGCTAAATTCAAGTACATGATGAAACAAACAGGCATCATCGGCAAATTCTCTGCAGCACTTAGATATGAGGAGCTGAAGTAGATCATAAACTCTGTGGATATTTGTGCTACATATCAAGCATCCAGTACTGAAAGAAGATTTTGTTTAATTTTCTAGTGACATCTATTACAGCTTTTTATTTATGGGTATTAATCATTAAATACTTTTAACTATTATACAATTTATATTTGTAATAATGCAAAAAAAACAACCAAACTGTAATGTAGGAGTTTCAGTAATTTATACTGTATCACAATCTTCAGCACACATTTAATTGTGCAAAAGGTGAACATTATGACTAAAAGGTGTAACATAATTTTTTTTCCAGAGCTGAAGCTTCAACCTGGCCAAAGCAGAACTCTTACATCTAGCACACTACACATTTCATGAACCAAAGATTTTGTTTGTCTTTTTAATTTTAAGTCAGAAAAAACATCTTAAATTTGACATTTTTAAAAATACTGTTGGTCAGTTGCACCTGATTTCTATTCTTCTTGTCATGTTCTTACTGGAATACTGTTCTGCAGTTATGTACAGTCTATTGAGTTATTTTTTGTTCTAATTCTTTATTACATAAAATTGTATAGTAATCTCTGCCTTGTCATAATTGTTCTATATGAACCCAGAATGCACGCACACACACACACACACACACACACACACACACACACACACACACACACACACACACACACACACACACACACACACACTGAGCTAGTCTTGTGGGTTTATTTAAAGGTAATGAGTTGAGGATGAAGGTAACTAGATGCTGTACCGGACTAGAGCTGGAAGAGTTGATGTGAGCATCAACTGTAATTATCCTCAGTGGGCAGCGTGAGCTCCAGGAGACAGAGGCTGTAGAGATCTGCAGGTTAACAGACAGAGTTCTTGGTGAACAGAGTCCATAATGAGTCTAGAGGACCACAGAGTATCGCTGAGCTGCTGTAACACTCCAGGTGTAGATGAGAGAGTTAACAGGGCAGAAGGCTAAGATCCAGCAGCACAGCAACGGAAACCTGAACCCGACTGACGATTTTTAGAATCTGTAGTGACTGAATACGAACCAGTGGGGAAGAGCTATCAGAGGGAGGCTTTTGTAGAGAGGCTGGCAGGTGGAGTGAGTTTAGACTAATTGGTGCTTAACAGGTGTGACTAATTGGTGAGGGAGTGAGGCTGAGCTGTGTGAGAGAAACAGGCCAAAACAGAACCATGACACACCTAACTTAATTTTTTATGCATCTTACTTTCTTTTACTGTCCAAGTTCAACTGTTTTGTCTCACGAAGGGAATTTCATTTTTTTTTAACAGAAAGAATATTATAAAGTAGCTCAAACACAAAAAGCAGAGAAGAGTTTTTTTAACATTTGAAGTTTTTAATGTTCGTGTTAAAGAACTGGATCTTATCTCTTCTACTTAAGGGTTTTTTACTCTAAACAAACTTGTCATCACTTCCTCCTGTTCTACTTCCTCTGTCTCTCTCGATAAATACTGCTGAGTGTTTATGTTCCTCAAATTACAACCTAACTGTAGTTATTCTGTCTGCAAAAATGTGGTCAGGATTCAAACCCTCAAGAAACATTCAAGAAATAACTCTTTAAATCTAATGAAGAAGAAAAAAAACAGCTGATCTTAGATCTAGTAATTTATTCGTAGAATTAGACCAAATTAAGATATAGAAATGAATCAGAGGAAAATCCCTAGTCAGAATCGGTGGTTACAGCTAAGAGAGAGAGAGAGGGAAGTACAGAAGAGTAGTGGAGGGGTACAGAGGTATGGATAACATTTAGGATAGGAGATGCTCTCTGAAAAGGTTGGTCTTTAGAAGTTTCCTGAAGAAATAAAGGGAAGCTGCTGTTCTTGTAGCGCTTGGTAGGTCATTCCACCATCTTGGAACAACCCATAAAAAAAGTCTGGATTGTCTAACCCTAAGCGTGGTGAAAGCACTGCTAGACAACAATCCACTGAGGACCAGGATGACCGTGTGATATAAGCTTTTACTAAAGGGTTCAGGTGGACAGGCGCAAAGAAAAGAAAGAATTAATTAATCTGTCGAACACGGCCCGTCTTCATTTTGCCGTTCATCTTTTCCACCTGCTCCTGTTTC